ATTCATTCATTCATTCTAGACAAATTGCATGGAGAAATTATTATATGCCAGTAACTAGCTTTTACACCCTAAAAAAGGTGATTTTTAAGGGTTAAAGGTTAGCCTGTCCATGCATTAGTACAAAACATATCTTTTGATCTGATGCGTTTTCAGGTTATTTAAATGACCATGATGCTGTCACCAAGGCAATCCAAGAAGCTCGGCAGATGAAGGAACAACTTCGGCGGGAACAACAGGTGCTTGATGGGAAGGTGGCTGTTGTGAATAGTCTGGGTCTCAATAACTGCCGGACAGAAAAGGTCAGTTCATAAAATAACTTGCTTTCCAGAAATGCTTAATAAAGTTTCTTGAATGCTTTTGTTTTTTATCTTTCCATCTTTTTGCCATCCTCAGAATGATGATTTTTTTTCCCTCTCCTTTTTCCCTCCATCAGTACAGAAGGCCCCATGCCCATCCTAATCAAAACCATCTGGAAATGGGAAGAGTTATAATTCTCTTTATCCAGTGAATATCCCCCTTTATGCCACCAGCTTGTATTAAAATGAAATGGCATTTGAAATATCTGAGTCTGAGTAAAAGTTTTGCTTTACAGAGATGCTTAACTTGTATTGGGGATGAGCTGGATTTGAAAATGCTGAATCTTCTTTAATCAGCATAAGCTTGGATGATACCCATGCTCATATTCTAAGTATTTAGGATCCTGAGCTTGTCATAATGTTTCCAATGCAGAGTGCTGTCAAGTGTCGGGTGACTGCACAATTGAAAAATCTGACTTCTTCCTAAAACAAAATGTGCCTTTTAAAACTGTGACATTATCCTTATACCTAAATGAAACTTCTGAATTTGACTGAGATCTATAATGATTTCAAGCTCTTTTGTCTAAGTGCATGTTGTATTTAATTAAGAAAAATATTATGAGTTATTTTAGAATGCTCAGAATCATGTGCTTCCTTTGGTAATATTTGATATGTTTTGAAGTGAAATTTGCAAGTGTTTCCAAGTCCCCTTTGCACAATCCTATAGATAAAGTAGATGAGAGAAAAAAAAATGATCAGCTACTTAGCAGTAACTTGAAAGTTAATCATCATGGGACGCTTCTGAGTCAAACAACTGCCCAGAATGAGCAGATTGCTAACTTGGAGAGCTTTCTTGTTCCCAGGTTTTTATATGGAGTTTGATGTCTAATCGCTGAGAAAGCTGGCGATCTGTGTAGTGAAGATGAAATAATGTATGGGTGATCCTGTTGCAACTGCTTTTTTCTCTGGTCCTAATGTGGGTAAAAATTTAGGTTGGAGAAACTATTTTAATTCCGTTCTGTGTCCAGAGGGGAGGGCAACGCGGGGGTCAGTATACACCCTTTGCAGTCTTACAACATGAGAAGTGTGACATTGGTGCGGTGAGAAGGGCACAGCATTTTTAAAGCCAAGCACCAAAAGGGAAAGGGAAAAGCAAAGTGACAGCTCTAAGAAGGAATGATAGCAAGCATAAAGGAATTTATATTCAAATATTTAAACATTCTTGAAAGGATGCTTGAACAGAAATTCCTTTTCTCTGCTCCCCATGTAGAAATGAGTTTAACACTCAGCCAGATGCTAATGCAAAGTGACTCAAGCTATTCCTCGCAAGCATAGCTAAATTGCCGTTATTTGTTAAGCGCATTGAATTCAGCTGTGGATACAGCAGTTGGTTGCATTCAGCAAGCATCTATACCCTTTTTTTTTTAATCCTCCAAAGCAGAGACAACTCTACCTATCCTCCCCCCCCCCCTTCCCCAGTGCTGGCTGGGAATTGTCAAGTGACAACCGACCAAATCCTTTCGGACAGGAAGCCTTCATCCTGAGTTCCATATACTTGCAAAACAGGCCTTGTGGTTGGATCAGGGAGCCCATTAAAAGCACTTTGATGGTATGGAAATTCATCTTCATGAAGCTCCTAGGCCCCTAAGCAGCATGCTGTTTAGCTGTGGTTACAGATCAGTCATTCACATTGGAGGGCAATAATTGTGCTGACGGCTTGTAAGGCAATGGAAGTACATAAAATAATCCCGGGCCCTCCACCATGGCACTGTGAGTTAATCTTCTCTAATACAGATCAGCTGTTGTTCTAACACATGACTTTATGCTGGCTCCAGTGACTCTGCACAGCCTTTTGATTAAGCAACAGGAGTGGAACCATCTGCATTCACTTTATTCCATACTTATCCATTGTTTAGGGGACCTTTCTTCCACTTCTTGTTCCACCTCCAAAATCATTCTTTATTTTATTTTTCTCTGATTAGCACCTCCTATTTGGGTTGCAGGAGTGAGAGTTGCCTCTGTTGAAAGCTACTGCATCAAATTTCCTTTCTCTTTTGTAGAGTTATGACAACTTTTTTTTAAAAAAAATCTACTTTTTAAATAATACCTGCCAAACCTATGGCCAATTAAGGTGTCTCTCGTCTCAAGAAGTTTATCATTCTCAAATCTGTCCACCATACACTGTCAACGTAGTTGAATTACACCTTGAACTATATAGTCTTGTGCTTGTATGCATTTTAAGTGAAAATATTAAACTTGAAAATGAAGCAGTTCTGTTACTATAATAGTATGACAAACTCTTATAATGTGTAAGTGAATGTTTTCAACCAAAGGATCTGAATTATCTCAACTCTTATGTTACTCTGACACCTGAACATGAAATTGAGATTATTGAAGCAGGTATTACTATAGTGTGTGGTTGACTTTTCCTATTGCACTAGCTTAGGTGTCATTTCTACAGCATTAGCGATTGATCTCTGTGCAACTCATGGGAATGAGATAGTAATGTCATATTTATATCTTTGAATTTGTAATTATTCAACATTAGCACTTACCATGTATTAGGGTGTGTGCTGTGTACTAGAGGTATTGTATTGAACCAGAAAATATGGGCTATGCCTTCATAGAGCTTGTAGTATAGGTCAAGTTATTTGATAGTTAATAATTGCATATTGATGTGTGAGAGCTCACCTACAGAGATTGAATAAAGACCCATATTGCTTAGCATATCAGACCAATTATATATGTGAGTTCACAAAGGTAGGTAATTATTCTTCCACGTGAACCAACATCACTATGCATATTGTGGTGTCATTTTTCTAGTATGTACCTTTTCATTTGAATTTTATAATCACTGAGCATTACCTATGGCCAATGCATGTATGGATCAATAATCGGTTTGAAATTTTGCTTCCTAGCTCTTAATGAAAGCCATAAACAACATATGATAAAATCCTCTTGTATTTTGCACTATGATCTTCTCGTATCATTTGAATCCCAAAAGAAGGGCATTTTTCTATCTAAAATAATACACCTAACTCCTTCAGAAAGTAGGTGAAACGTAAGGAATGGGGGAGATAAAGCGGAAAGAAAGATGGAAGGGAGCCAGGAGAAAGGAAAAGGAAAAAGGAAAAAAAAATCAGCCCAGTGCTTTTTATTAGTCTAAAAGATAATAGATATGATGACCTGCGATTCAGATAATTGGAATCTTGTAGTAGAGACCCAATTTCTTGGGTCCACCAACTTAACAGACATTAACTTGTCCTCACATCTCAGATAACCAACATGGGTGTCCCAACTAGAAGGTCTTAATTCTGAAAAGCTGTAATTGGACAGTGAAAACAATTAGAGGTGTGAAGATGGGGACAAATGTTTTCCCAGTGATATGTACCAAAACACATCATGAAAGTCGTTTTTACTGAAACACATTTTAATTGAAGACTTCTAAAAGATTTTTTTTTTATTTCTTTACTTTTCTTGGAAGAGTTTCAACATACCCAAGAACTGTGTGTGTCAGGTTTCTTGGAAACTCTGGGACACAGTGTTATTTATAATTGTCATCTCTAGTTAATTATAGACTGATTGTATATTCAAATAATGTTATCTTTCACCACACAGCTCTGTTACAGATTAGTGTTCTGGATGAAAAAGTAAACTTCTCAGGTAGGAAGTAATAGAAAGAAGATTTTTCATACATTTGTTTTGTAAAAAACAAACAAACAAAAAAACCCCACACCCCATTTGCTTTGTTAATAACCACATGGCACGATTTTGTCCATATAATCAACTGTATACTAGGTTCTTAACCTTGTACTTGAAAGTATTCATACCTTATAGGAGAGCATAAAAATCTCATCCTGATCCGACCAGGCAGTGCTGATACAATAGAGGCCCAGTGTACTCAGTTGAAATGAGGAATAGACCAGAAGTTCTCCAGCCTACTCCCCTCACTCCAGATGTGGTTATCCTCAGAAGACTATTCCTATACTGTAGTCTCTGTTAGAAAATGTATTTCACTGCATGCATCAGGAAATCTAAATGCAGTAGTTTAAACAAATAGTGTTTGATTTTTCTTACATTGTGAAGTTCAGGAGTAGGAGAACTTCTACGGTTCATTAACTCTCAATTATATCAGAGTTGAAATCCCTGTGATTCTTTGGGTTTTTTCCCTTTGGGTCACAGAATGGTTGCTACACCTACAACTATCCCATCCAGGTGAAGGCAGGCAGATTCAGGAAGGAGAAGTTTTCTCTTTGCTAACTTCATTCTTCATTCCTATAGGGATGTTTCATTCCTCTTCTCAAGTTGACTTCCACAAACATCTCATTGGCTAGAACTAGGTTCAGCTGTTGGGTAAGAAAAGGCAATTGTCAGCCACATTATAAAAATGATATCCAAGCTCACAAATGCTTCCTTCATGAAACTAGTTTGTTTTGTTTGTTTTATAATTGTTGCTATCTCTCTGTCTTTTGCACTTCCAGTATCTCATGTCCAGGGCCTTAGACCTTGTCTGGGATTCATAAAGAATTAAACAACAAACATGTGCACAAGAAAACATTGTTTGATGACAGGTTAAATCTATGAAAGTGTGTTCACACACATGCTGTATACGTGTTAAGACTGACTTCTGTATTGCTTTTCTTATGTAAAACAGATGTCACTCACAAAAATAAGCATGCAAATATATGCATATATTTCTTAAGGTAGGGAATTTATTCACCAAACATTAATTGCCTACAGTGTACCTAGAATATAAACAGGTATGCATACTATGAATTCATCTCTAACTGTAAATAATAGCTGGGAAAAAATGGCTTACTTTTCCTTCTGAGCTTCAGCAAAAATTCTTTGCAGATTTCTATAAAATAAGGTGAAAATTTGGTAAATGGCATGTTCATTTTAAATAAAAATTTACTCAATCGTGGCACCAGTTTCTCTTCTTGATTATTTGCCAGTCATATTCATAAGAAGCCTTACCACAGATTGTATAGGCTGGTTGTAAA